CTTACGTACACGTTTCTATAACAGTTATCTGTAATACAGTAAAACACGGAATCCCTTTATGCGACCAGATACGCAATGTTTGTAGCATATGGCTAGCGTCGCAGCAGACGGCGCGTTAGAACAGTAGAAAAATACGAGAACCACAACGAAGACACAATTAATAAATAGCAACTCGATGAAGAAATTACACGGGAATTAGGCAGGACCGTGGTTAGAGATGGTATCTGGTATCTATCGCTGTTCACACCTGGTTATCATCAACAAAAGCTTCATTGTGCTATTCATCAACGTCAGATGTAGAAGTAGAACGTATATAGCATATGAACAAACGAACGGTGCCTCGCGTAACACGTGTACTGCGTACAGCTTTGAGCTCGACAGGAAAGTCATTGAAGCCGTGCTAAAAACATCCCATGGAGATAACGCAATCGAGAAAAAAATACAAATTTCTTACTAACCCTTTTCTTCATATCGTTACCAATAAAACCTAAAAACGAACGTGCATTATATGCACGTAGACCAAGTGTTGGCACATGAATGTAATAGTCGGAAAGAGGTGGCGCAAACTTCACTGTTTTAGATTTCAAGTCTGAGAAGTAACAATTTGAATAATGTCACATCTTTTGGCAAACGTAAATGATGGCCATTTGACGAGCTTCACCAGAGGCGAATGCCCATTCGACGGAGAGCATGTATCACCGCTATAGCGGTTTCACAACGAACTCATACCTTCATTAGGTCGTTATTTTATATCGCTTTGATTTCCGTGGTTCCTCTACTGTGTTTCGTTCCAGCTTGACAAGATAATCCCCATATACGTTGGCAACTCGTTGGCAAACCAAAAAAAATTTGGCCTTCATCATCCCAGAGCTAAATCGAAGCTATAGCTGTCGCCATATAATTACTCCATTTCATGTTAAATGCGGTCGCGAAATAGCCTCATGTATGTATAGTAAAATGAGCCTCGCTGGCAGCGGAAGAAGCCTTACAAATTACACTATAGAGAAAGCAGAGCGGTTTTTGTAGCGTTGATCGAAAAAGAATCACAGTGTCATAAATGCGGGTACAATGGCCCTTTTTGCAATTGCAGGAAGCATTCATTTGACAAATTCAATACAGAACAGCGATCAGGAGATGCTGAACAGAAATCGAAAGCTGTGGACTTGAAATCTTCAACAGATATGGGTGGAACGAATTATCATTAGAGCTTCTAATAACTTCGGATGGCCGATTATCGAGATTGATTCGACTATAGGTAGTTGAAGATTTCTAGATTGTTTCCCATTGTAGTTAGCAATACATGGCCTTCAGACCATAAACTATCATCGTTCTTTTGTTAATGTCCTTTTCTATTAGGTCCATTCGTGAGAACGTATAACCTAACCGAAAACGGTCCAAGACGTCCAAGCAGTAATGAAGCTATCACCATACGTAAATGAGGCTACAACACCGAACATTAGTATGAGTTCTTATCATGTGTGATCTATATAAAAACCATTGTCTTATGAACGCATATGTAAAGACGTCAAGTAGATTGATGCGAGAGCACGTTCGGTTAAGATTCGAGGATTCGTGCGAACATACGGAAGGCTACCTGAGTGAGTATTTAGCTGTATTTCCTCACGACGTGGTCGCAGCTTCTGTTAACTTCGATATTGTTCCCATCTATCCTATCGGGATGTCGGCGTTAACGAATAGAATATTCGGCTTGATAATGAGCAGATGTCGTGATAGGGATGAACTACTGTGAGATCTGTTTCATGCAGGCGGGTCGTCCGAAAAAAAAACAGGAAACGTACGGGCCTTGCTGAATAAATCAAGGGAATGAAAGTCTGAAATTTGTACCGTCGCATCATTGTCTCCAAACGGGAAAGTGCAATGCAAGTGTATGTACACTGGGTGAGTAGCTTGATGTAGTAGTGGCGTACAAGACGCCAAAAGTGAAAAATGGTCCTTCTAAATAGCGCCTGCAGTATACTCGCGAGAGCGAATTAGTTATAATTCAGATATTTCGTTGAAAAAACACGCAGGCCATGTCTGCAGTATTTATTGACAGTTTTCCTCAGCAGAAGTTTGGGTATACGAGTACGGCTTCATATACATAAATGTACACGAGCTAGGTGTTTCAAATGGAACTACACGATCGAAATCTCTACGCTTCATATGTGCTCTGTTCTCTAGTCTCCCAGCTAACTAGGGCCGCTCGGTACCACATAAGGAACGTTTGTTATGATTTTTATCGAAGAACAATAACCTAAGAGATAAAAAGAAAAAACATTCACTTGTATGTAAGCAACAACGACAATCCTAATTGATCTAATCGGAAGTATCCTTATAATTAAGAAATATAAAAATAATTTGTTCTATATTAGCATTATGCACAAGTCACCGATATATTTAGCGATCGATCCCTATATATATATATATATATATATGACTTTAACTCGTGTTTAACACGCGTATTTCTTATACGCTTCGCTAATCGCCTGGGCAGCTCTGGAGTCGGGTCAATAAGTGGGTTAGGGACAATGTTGAATAACCCTTTCGGTAATGGTGAGTGAGGTATTATTGTCATCAAACTGCGTGTTCTCGACTGCAATACCGGCTGTCTCTTTGTTCATTGTCCTACTTTGGGCGAGGGTCTCATAGCAATAGATGCCCCTCTTGTTCATTCCGTCATTATATATAGAACTTAGAAAAGCAACTCACGTTACGCATTTCTGTAGTCAACTGTCTCTATTTCTTTGTCGTCTCTGTTAATAAAACAGGAAAGCGTCTAGTCGCTAGCAGAACGCTACAAGCGTTCAGTGACTTGTACGATTTGTTTGTTGCGAAACCGTTTACGCTTCCAATGTGTTTAGGTGGCTGTGGCTCAGGTTGCTTTCGGCGTTACGTTGGAACCACTTCTAAGCATAAATACTTTCTCAAGGCACCTTAACTTACGTTTCCACTGCTTTGTAAGTATATCTAAGGCTGGCACTCGATGTGTGCAACGATCTTTGACAAGTTAAATTATATCCCTAACTCTATGGCTATCTATTTGTGTGGGTGAAGTGAGCATATGTGAGTTAGACGTTATTTTGTTATTGTTAGAAAATCAGTGACCTTTAAGCTCCATATAATTTTAGTTTAAAGGGCGCAAGCCAGTTTTGCTCAATAATTGTAACTTACTTTGTAAGCTAATTGTAATAAATACGGATACGTCATTTTTCTTGGTTATCTTGTCTGCTTCACAAATTGTACAAGAACCGGATCAGTCGTTTATAGCCGCCGTCTCCAGCGTGAAATGTTTTAATATACTGGAAGCGTTCAAATACAATGGTTGTTAACTTTGAATCACTCGGAATCGTATAGAATGGCCTCCGTTTAGAAGAGAAAATCCATAAACCTTCGTTTATACGCTACACTATGAACGTGTGTGAAGTTTTTAATATTTCCAAATTTGTACGCAATACCAAGTGCCGTCCAGGCACCATCAAAGGAAAGCAACTATTGTCGTTCACAAGGTTATCCGCTTAATTCTGTTTCCTAACGGAATTCGGAAAGGTCGATACGATAGCGTTGTCAGGAGTGGTCCTGACGGTCGAGACAACCGATTTTCGTTGACCAGGATTTGACTCCTTAAAACTCCTTGCCAGTGCGATGATTTATGGTACTCTCTTCGTTATTGGTTTTCTTCTTTTTAGTATGGTTGATCGCTGTTTCTCTAGTAAAACTTTTCAGAATTGACTTCAGCCCTCGTTTTGCTAAGCGCAGAGTTTTGTCCGGCAAAGATGTCTCGGACACTGACACAAACACTATGAGGGAACAAGCTGCCTGTGTATGGCTCCAAATCGAATTGTAAATCTCTTATTGGCCGAGCACACTATACCGGAAACCGGGAAAGGACGCGCAAAAGGGGATAGTTTATACTGTTATTATGCGTTGCACAGAAAAGTCTTCGACGATTGTGTACAGGTAGTAGTAGTATACGACTACCATGCCCCAAATGTCTGTTCCTGACCCTGTATTCTTAGATGTCAAAATTACGTGTAGTACGCGTATTCTTAACTGGAACATAGTCATATATGTCGAACGAAAAAGGGATATGATTGAATTTTACGTACGTATTTTCTAATCGTAGTATAATGAATGGTAGGGCATGTTAATAGGTGGCACATGGTTAAACATCTAAACTTTTGGGATTCTCCTGTAGAAGCCAGCAATTGTTAGTATTTTAAAACATCTCCAGAATCAATTCAAGTGAACGACATATCACCCCCGAAAGGCCGATTGATACATCTGGTGGACAAAATGCATTGTTGATATTGGAAAACATTGTTACAAATGTCCAATGAGCTCTCTACTATGGATAAGTTCGATTCAGTTGTTTATAAATCAGGCCTTGAACGTTGTTTTCCATATTGGCGCTGAAGGTGTGCTTTCACAGCATTACCTTTAGGTACACAGTAATGGCTTCAACGAGATTACAAACAGTTTTTCCAACATTTAATGATCCCTCAAGGCTGGAAATACGTTTACGCATTTAGAACAAAGGCTTTAAATAAGCGAAGAAATGCTTTTCTATACGTAAAATTATACTTTACAAATGATTTCCCTTTTAAACGAATAGTCTGGCGAGCGACGGAGAGGCCAACCTAGTCCAGTAAGGCAGCGTCCGCTTTACGAGCAAAGAGACGAAATTGGTGTTTTTTTTATGACCCTAGAGGAGTGTCCGTGGTCGAATTAATCGAACGGTAAGCTGTAACGTTCATATTGAATTTACGCATTTTATTATTGCGTAGGGTGGACGTTTTACTAGATTAGGATGAAGATAGAATAATGGAGCCTTATCACTTTGTGTGGCAAGCTATACAATTGTTGTCAGCCTAAAGTTAAGAGTATTTCTTCCATAAATATAAACAGGCAGGCTGTATAGGCAACCTATTAATTATCTAACATGGTAAACATTTCATCTCAAAATATCCGGCGGTCGACTGACCAAGCGCTGATTCCTCGAACAACTCATGTAGCTCGTGCCTGAGCAAGTCGTTATCATTACCTGTCGTCACGTCATTTTTGCGCCACTGGGACATTCAACGCCAACGCAATCGGCGGCCGTTTTACGTACGGCTGTACACCTCGGCTGCTCCTATTCGTATTCGTCCAATTGCTATAGTGTTCCCGAAAAAAGCGTAGGTTCACCGCTGTGATGTACGCTCCCCCTCTAGAGGTTATGTTCGGCTTCACCGTTGGGTAGGACTAGTTTTTGATAACCAATTAGGCCATTGCTTGTAAAGAAACAGGGCATTTGGAGCTAGTGGATTCACTACCTTGTTAGTCAGATATGTTAGGCCTTTTTAGCTAGCTTACTGTGTTCTCCTAATCGTAATGGACTACGTAGGGTGGTTAGATTTACCACGCCAAAGTAGATGCGCAGACGTAAAAAAGGTTAATAGCCATGGTTTTTTTTATGGAGCTCCTGAATCTTGTAGAAAGGTTAGAACCACAAGTAGAACCTTCCACGCACAGCCTTCTACCCATTACGAATTTCGTCAGTTGTTTTTCCAGTGCCTCATCTGCATTTGCGAGCCCGCAGAGACGCCAACACGCAATAGACACACCTCGACAACTACGATAGATTTGGTCGAATCAGAGAAGAAAATATATGTGGTATGTAGTTAAAGATATCCGCAGATAATTTGCTCTAGTGCGTGTAGTACTAGGCTTGTAATCTATGTAGGTTGGAGAAATGTATATGATATTTGTTCTGCTATGTACCAGACTGAACTTTGTGCTACATTCAGTTAGCTAGAATGATTGCCTACTCTTAGAATTAATGCTTTGTCACATTCTCGCTTGAATACAGAGTTATAGTATCTTTAGATAGGTCTGTGCCTTAGGAACAAAGCAATGAATGAATTTATAGGTGTGTCCCTGCGCAGATTTGGACTCGTTATTTTCTTGTTAATAACTTTAGATGTCGACAGGCCATGGAAAAAGTACTCCATTGCTACGTATGTTGATTTAATAAAATGTCTTAGGTCAAAGAAGATTAAAATCTAACGTCACGGCTACGTCCTACTGTTGTGCCGGGTATTCCATCTTCGTTGACAGACAAATTACTTCATATTCAGACCTGTTTCAATGGGAATGAAAGAAAAGATTTGCCTGGTGATGAGGTTGGAGACGTCGTGCACACTTCGATCTACCGTTTACAGAAATCCATCAGTATGCTGACGTCAAAACGATAGTGACATTTCGGGCTACGGGATATACTGTTGAGTACGTAAGGCGTTGTTGCGCTTTTTTTTGTTCTGTACATGCACATGCAGACTTTCTTTAGTATGTGGCTGACTGTACACCAGCCAATGATAGAGATGTATTCTGTCGACAGAATACTATTCCGTATCCCTGTAAAACAATTTCTTGTGCCCATCGGAGAAAAAGTGTCGGTCTTTGTCTAGCTAGCCTTGACAGATCACATATACTACTAAAAAAGTCTGTGAGTATTACGGCGGAATAAGCCATTAACGATTAATACGAATAGTCCAAATAAATTTCACAAAGTTGATTTACTACCATACGCAGTCATTCGTACAGAGATACGAATAGCCATGCTTTGGCACGAATTTTCCTAATATTCAGACGTTAGAGTTGCATATGGATAGGTAAGGCCGATGGCCTGTATCTTTCAATACGTTGAAACTTGCACATATGCATCTGGGTATTCCATAACCTTTTCAGACTGTTGAAAGTCAACTGTCAGCACTATACAAGAGACAGGCTCGCAGAGCTCAAACTAGCCACATGGACGGTACTCTAAAATAGGGTCAAGGTGTTGACGTCCAGCCGAATGATTGGCGCTTTTGATACGGAGCTACATGGGCACGTTCGTTGACGACCATGTGTTCCACGAGTGACGCGTCATTTATATCACCCTGAACAAATGCACCTGCGCATTGACACATGATATACACAAGCTAACTAGAGTTAAGGCAGAGGAACTCGACGGGTTTCAACATGCCGTCGACACCGCCGTGTGGCTCTAGAAACTAGAGTATGGACGAACTGGACCCGAGAACTGGTCCTAGTGTCAGATTCTAAGCATTTTCTTCCAAAAAAAAAACAGATCGGGAATTGTACATTTGTAAGTTCTTCCATTTCACTACTTTATTATCGTATAATTTTTTTTTTAATTTACTATTACTGCAGTTATCTAACAGACGAAAACGTTATGTGAACGATAGCGTAATAAGCTATCACGGGATATGAAATGGAATATCAAATCGAACTGTGGTACATCGTTTAGTGACGTATAGTGTCCGCATCGTTTAAATATGGATGAGACTAAAACGCAGAACTTATTCGACCCGTGATAGAATTTTAGTCTATAGCTTCAAAAACGACTTCAAGATCTCCGACACTCCGACCTGAACAGAACGACTCTCGGCCAACGTCATGAATGACATCAGGCGGGCTGATGGCAACAAGAACCATCGCGGCAGCTTCTTCGTTAAGTAGTCAACGTTTTCAGCTGGAACTACTTCGATTTCAGTTCCTCCGATACATGTCGATCTGTCTTAGTTGTCTGCTCTCCGCCGTTCATTTCTGATGCTCAGTTCACAAATCCCTGCCTATATGTTTGGATCATACGTACTCGTCTTTTCAAAACCCCTGGCTACTCTGAAGTGTACATCATGTGCGCAGACGTTATTATAAAATACTGAGCGATGCATATAAATGTTATTAAAGTAGAGATTTTTCATATTGATTATGTATCGTTTTAGTCGATAATATCCTGCCATTTTTCTGCAAACACAATTTCTCTGGTTTCCGGACGAAAGCTATTGATGCGTGATTTTTGCATTTAATTTAAAGTAGATTAGATTGATATCACAGAGGGATTTCTGCGGAAACCGAAGTGACTAATAACCCGATAATGTCAGGTCCGGGTGGAGCTGCGGATGCATAAAAAATTTCCAGCAGAAGCTTTCCGGGGAGCTAAAAATGTATGTGATCTAAAGCCATGATGGCGCTCTTTCCGCTCTCTAGTTCCAGTGATTTGCTTTCAAAAATTTGACGTATTCACACGTTGACGCTAGAGATTCTACTCGTTTTGGTAGGCGGCGGCGGCGGCGGCGGCGGCAGCAGCAGGCTCATAATACACGATTTCCTTGCAATCCCGACAAAGACATTGTATTATCTACTTTAGTATCGGAGCACATCTTCGTCGCACACTCCGATGACTCGAGTTCAGGTTTTAGAATCGGATAAATTGTTTTTGAAAAAAGCTTATCGTAGCCAATGCTTTTAAATAGCTTAAGACTGTTTGGTAAAGATTTTCATCTGAAACTGTGCAGCACGTGTGCCTTCGTTGTAAAGCTGTGAAAAATTTCTCAAGAAAATCATTCACCTTTAAGTCGGCATATCAATCCAGATCTGAGTAGAGACGATTTTAGTACACGTACTATTTTACGTTTGTCAACGACAAATATTGACCAGACAGGTCACATTAATAATAGAGCTACGCAGGTGCGACGACCCAATGTATAGTTACTATATCTGCATGGAAGTCTACAGTAGCATTCAATAAGCGGATGAGGTGATTTTTTTTTCAGCTGACTAGTCGCTGCTTAGTGAATGTACGACGACAAATATGCTACCTTCCCCTGTAGACATCGTTCAACAAATGAAACTTCAGTATATCACATACGACGAGATCAAACCGAACCGAAACAGCGATTAGAGCAGTCTCTGTGATTAAATATATGAGTTCTTAAATACGTTCTCGTAACACAGTTAGTTGTAAACATGATGACCAACATGTGTGTGTGATAATATCAGCGCAGCATATAAAATTGAGAGCTTCGAACAAATGAATTATATTTTGACTGAGGCGTTTAGAAGCATCGATCTTCGCACTCTCAACTCACTCACGAAACGACAAATGATAGGGAGCCAATTTTCGTAATTTGAAAATTTTCCTACGGGCTCCCCCTAACGACTTTGCTACGTAGTGTGTAAAGAGGCCAGGAACGCGCGCAGCAAGCAGAGTCTTCTTCCGGCTGCCTTTGTTCTCGACAAACCCATTTATCGCAGTAATAATGAGACTCGGTTACTTCAGCGCGAGCAAACCCGGCAACAACAGAAGAAACTTACCTTTGCTTTGCCGGTGCGAAATGTAGAAAATCATATGGAAAATGTAAAATCTAAGTGTTCCGAAGAACAACGACGATATGATCGAACAACACCGTTGTGCTCACTTCCATCCGCCGGGGTTTGTGTGATTTATGCGAGGAAAGGGCATTTAGTGTCTGTACGAAGAGAAGAGGTGACATGGGGTATTCTGCCACGATAAAAAGGCAGACTAGCGATGTCAACATGTCTTTTCAACCGTTTCCCTATAATGCATTGCTCCTCGAGTTCAAAATCGATAAACACCAAGAATATGAAGCTTGAATTAGGGAAAATGCAGCAACGTTGTCAGGGTGGCGAAATGGAACCCCCTGTTTGAGCTTAAATACTGATACAATTAGATGGTTAACAGAACCCCGTGAACCTGTTCCGGAACTAGACTAGTTTTTAAGGTAAAAGAGGGCTTTATTTCGAACAGAATGATCGGAAAAGACATGATTCCTTTAGGCAAACATCTCTAGTTCCGTTTGCAATAGTAACGTTAATAGTAGCTGACTATAACGATAATTTGGCATTTTGTTAAATTGTTTGCTCCGACAAAGAGTGTTACAGTTTACAAGACAAATTATAAATCTGTGTACTGACCACAGAAGAATTTTGCTCTTCACTACCCATCAACGACAACGTGCAAGCCCGTGTGGAAGACCTTACATAAACCCACGAGAGTTCCCATGACCTAGGACTACCGAGACGCGTCTGCTGCTAATGACAACTAGAATCCTTATAGTTGAATCCTCTCATTTTCAAGGTTTGTTATGTCATGTCATTACAGCGTACCCAATGGATGGCCGCTTTCCCGCAGTGTCCCCAGTCTCTTCAGCTTCCAAAAGCTTCAGTCTATTCTCACGGCGCGGTGCGATCCATCGAGCAGAGTCAGGATTAAAAAATCGAATTTCAGTTGACAATCAAATTGTCGCGGTGGCTGGGTTGGAGAAAACTATGCCAGTTTTTTTCAGCCCTACGACATCAACTCTCACTAACAAATCAGCGTAGGTCTCATCGATAGGCCTGTTGTCTTCGACGCCATTGTCTGATGGCTACGGTGCATTCGGTAGGTGGTTACTCCGTGGAGTTGGCCTGGCACGAGTGTTGCTTTCATTGGCTGGCGTCCTCAGACAAATCTAATCTAAATATTGCATAATGAATCCACCAAAATAGAGAATCGGCGGCAGCAGCAGCATATCTGGTACTATTCACGGTAGAAGCACCAGCAACAGCATTAGCAACAATAATGACAGCAGCCATCGTTCAGCCTATGGCAACGAACATGCCTCGAGCACTCTGCGGGAGCTTAGGGCGTCACACCGTCACTTCAGGGCAGGCTGGGAGAGAAAACGCCGGCAGCTTCGAAAGCATATCAGAGTGCATCGAGCAATATGGCCGCGAATGGAGTACTACGGATTCATCCATTCCACTTTACGAGGAGCCAGGGGAAGTGGTCATACTCACTTCCGTAGCTAACGATGACGAAGATGGCGATGCCGAAGAGAAAAAGGTTGAGCTGTACAAGCTAGTCGATAGACGCAAATAAACCCGACTGCGCCTGTTGTGCTGATGGTCATGGGGTCGGTTCCACCGAGCGTTTAAGGGGGCTATGAGCTAGAATGGGTGTGTTATCATGGCCATTCTAGCAGCAGAATCCGCCGGGGGTATCATGTTAGCTGGGCTAAGAAGGAGCGGGCGTCAGCAGTAGGAAAAAGCCTTTTGAGCGCTAGCTCGCGTGCGTGAGACCGGTACTTACATAGAGGAGCTTGTACATATTTATTCGCGGAGTACAGTAGATCTGGCGATCTATAGGCGGTGGAGGGGTGATGGCGAAGAAAATTCACGGACGGAGCGTGTCTCGATTGTATGCTAGGAGAGGCTGTGCCTATGAGAGAATGAGTTTCACCATACGTTGGCGGCTGGATTATAAATGATCCCTCTCCTATATTAATATTGGCCGGCAGCAAGTACAGATGGATTGGGTCATAGTACTGTTGCCGTTTTAGTTCGTAAATCCAAGGGTATTTTGGCGCTGCCACTATTGCTGTGAACTGCGCAGTTAACAGCATCTATGTAAGCCGTGGGACAAGGGCTAATATTGTGTGAAATGATAGAGGAGCAGACGCGTCGATAAGGTATCGCTCGGTTCGAAGTTTGAAGATAGTTTGCAGCTAACGACCACCAAATCAGATCTGCAACGAGTGAAATCATCAAAGATGTTTTCGAGTCACCGTAAACAGGTATAAGTAAACGAGGTTGATTATATTCAAATAATATAGAACGTCCAACAAACTAGTATTCAAGCTATTATCACCTGTATCTTAATATATATAAGTCATATTTAAAAATAAAATTATTCATTATCGAATTCTAGTTCTGCACGACAAGCAGGTGGCGTTTCCTATGAACCGCAATACTGGCAGAAAAGAACCTGTAAACACTCAAATGCAGTAGAACACTGCTCGTGACATTTATAATAATCAGACAGAGTTCGAAAAAGACTAAATTGGGAAAAAGTTATCTTAATGTTAGGAATATACCAACTTTGCAATAAGGTTCACCGCAGAATCTTTATAAACCACACGGGGCTGTTACAGCAGTGGCAGCGGAGTGTGTCCTGCACCCCAGGGCGACCTTGGTAAAAAAAGATATTTCAGAGAATTAAGGTCACCTTTCTTGACGTAACTGTCTTCGTTCTTGGCTTTTTAACGTAAATAACGCTGGGCTGGTCGTTAGTACCGTAGAACTGAAGACGATATTCAGCGGCTGAGAACAGTGAGAAATTTCATAGATTTAATAGAAAAATAGAACACTGATATGAACAATTCATAAATCAGACAACTTATCTAACACTTTTGTCAGATGGAAAATTTATATTGTTGTTAGCTTGAACTTGCGAAGCTTATAGCATTTGCCTTGCTTCTATTCGATGTGAAAACCAGTGACTCACTTATTATGATCTCTTTAGCTGTACTCAGGTGGGAACGCCATCATCCCAAGTTGTCTACAGCTGCGTTACTGATTCGGCTCAATGGCATGCAGAGCAGAGAGAGAAACGTCTTGGATACTGAGACTAAAAAACATTCTAGATCCCATAAATTCCTATGACGGCCAAGTCGAACGCGTTTCCCTACTGAACTTAGCAATACGTGACGTTCTTTGCGCTTGAAACTTTGTAAACATCCGTCGCTTGGTGCTTGAAGCCACCCACCTACTTAACGGCTGTAGCAGACGAAAAATGCGAAACATTTCTTTATCCAGATTCTTTACCGAAGCCCTACGAGAGTATTGTAGGTGAAAGAGAACTGCAATAGTTAGTCTAATATTTAGTTTTTTCTTAAACAGACATTTTATAAACGAAAGTCAAATATAAAGCGTCACCTAGTTGTACTTCTATGAGCCTATATTGCAATGTCGCAGACAGGAATAAGTGCATTCGTTTCTTGAATCATTATATACTCACTGTTTATGGGCACTCACAAAAAAAACACCCCATCTCCGTTAACGACCGATGGCCATAGCCAGCTTCGTTTGTGGCAAATCGTAGCAGCGGAGAATAGGCTCGCCGGTAGCAAGCAACCTGTTTACTGTCCACTAAATTACGGCTGTGTTCCGACCATCATATATCTGTCGTCCCGAGCGACAATGACAAAGCGTAATATGCAGTTACTTCATGTCTGGCTGGAAAGGGGCCTCAACAACAAAACGTTACCTGCCTTCATCACAAACAGTTATTAGATATGACGCACGAGTGCCTTTAGATTGATTCGTCATGGAACCTTTTCGAAGTCTCTCTTGATGAACTCACCGATCGGCTCGTGACGTTCACTGAGAGTCTCGTGATTCTCTACGGCATTGTCTCGACTCCTCCAAAGCAACAAAGCGGTTCTATTCATAGAGAACAATATTAAGATAAAATGTTTGTCTGTATATCTGTATCCAATCCACCGTTTTATTACATCGATCAAATGGTTGACCGCTACTTTGAGCACGGCCAATATTTGTCTATCAACAAGTATCATTTCAGTTCCGATCGTTCTGTCTATTCATTACCGCAGTGTCCTCAATAGCAACCGTTTCTGTCATTCGTAGTAGGAGTGCAATGAGATTAACAGAAACGTCCTGTTAGGTCTGATTAGGCGTTGAATAGGCGCCGAAGATCAAACCGAGTCTAAGTGTCAAAAATAACATTGCATAAATATGTATATAGATATAGTGAACTTTGCGCGGTGTGTCGGTGATCGCTATCGTCTAAACGAAAGACTGTACGAAATAGAAAGATTGTACCACGACGACGAGATAGCAAACATAAAAATGTACTTATGGGAGACAAACGTGTTATCTACTCATTATTTTCGTTCCAGAACACGCTGGACTGCTCGACTTCAGCTGGCCGCCCAAAGGGACGTGCTCCTCAGACAAAAACGGCATCAATTGAATGTCGTCCTCTATGCGTCGGATCCGCTTCTATGTTTAGACCGTAAAAACAAAGGTAGCGGAGGCTTTATGGAAGAAATACGCAAACTGACTGACTGGCAATTAACTATTAAGATTGAGCTACTGGGGGTTGCAGGATAAAGACGGCTTATGGGCGTGCACTTCTGCGTCTGAAGTCTGTATCCCAAAAAAAAATCGTAGTTCCACTGTAGGACAAGTATTGATCTAGGGAACCGGCAACCGGCGGCCGTAAACGTAACAGCAGGAGCTCAGCGATACCGCAGCGGCGCGTCGGTAGATGCACAGAAGAGTGGCCCTAAACGTCTAATCACGACTGCCGTGGGATGGACGGAAGATGCGCAAATAGCCGAAACACATCAAAGGGTTAGCTAAATAGGAACTGGCGAGAAAAACAGTCGATAAAATCTAATCTTTGTTTATTGGCTTGAAGTATTTGTTAGTTACGACGGCCAAGTACAGCAACGAACCATATCTGCGTTGTCTTAGGGTCACTCATTAAAATGTGTGCGTTTATCGCACTGAGGTGTCTGAGGCTACTGGGAAAATCAAAAGTGCTCGACTATTGATCCTATATTATATAATTGTGGGTTATAAATATAAAAGAATGGTCGCGAATTCATTATCGTATATGGAATTGGCACGTTATTGAATTGTTCTTACCACCGAGAACGATATCCGGAACATTATGTCTCCTTGAAAAGCAACATAACGAGTAAATTAAAAAAATTTCATTTTCTACATGTCGCCCAATGAAGACCTTGGTATGCTTGGTACCTAGGTAGGCCTCGACGGTGCAGTGGTAGCATAGTTGCCTATCAGCTGAAGCGTCATGCAAGCTGGTGTACTTCAAGTGGAAACGTTCACTGGTCACCCGTTTTAATCATTTTTATTTAGCCGAGAAAAAGAGTTCTTCATATTATGACAAAGTTGACCGCTAATGAGATCGATGCGTTAAAACGATGCTATCGATATGATATATCAAAGCCAAGACAGAATAGTAACGACGTAGCTGGACTGGGCTTAGTTTTCTGGCTGCCCGTTTCTGGCTACGATATTTCGTTGACCGATGTTCCTATGTGGTGAATGCTCGTTCTGTTTGGTGTAACGTAGATATCCATATGAGACACACAATTGAAAAATTCCGATGGCTGTCTTAAATAAGTCTCCTTAACATGCTTTAAGTTTGACATTCGGCAATACCGCTAAGCATTCGCTAGTAGATTTTAAGGTTCTCTAATAAAGTGGTCTAACAAAGTAAGGACACCTTGTGCCAGCCAGAGAGATTGGTTAAGCTCGCAGATTTTTTGTTCATTGTAGCAAGAATCAATGGTATATTTCCTTTTAGTTTGTGATATTTTTCTAAAGTACGAAAGTCTTTCGTACGAAAGAAAGAAAAGGTGTTTCAACTGTTGTAAGCGATGCATACCCAATTTGTATTGTATTCTGGGCAGCATTCGAAAACGTTTTCTGTACGGCGGAAGTTTCGCGATTGACTGGAGTAGCTTTTTTCATTTACCTGTTAAGTGAGCTCCGGAAGTTAATTTCTTACCATAAATCGGATCGCTAATGTAAACTGAATACACGCGAATGTTATCTTATCACGCAGTTCACAGATGTCCCAGCAGTGGTCAATATTCTTTGGGTAGGCAACAGTAACACAAATTCATTTATATTTACAGATCTTGAGTTAACATAAGAGAATTCTGTTCTGTTCCGCTTGCTTTTTAGCAGCGGCTTCGTGGTATTACTCCATCGTACATTTTTGCAAGTTAATTACGTCCCAGCCGATCTTGAAATGATTGTGGGCGCAATCTTTCGGATAGCGAAGAGGCGACAAGTTATGCGCTGTGTCGTCGCCGCCGCTCTGTGACCCATTTGACCCTCGGCTGAGGTTCTTCATCACTCAAGTGTGCTTCATCCATTCGCGGTGAACAGATGCCCTCCGAAGTAAGTTGGCTGAATGGAGGTAAACAAATGCGGCGCTCAGGCGTTGCCTCATTAAGCTTTGCAACAGAGGAACTAGGCGACTCGCAGAACAATACCGGGTGTCCGGGCGGTATAACAGAGAGAGGAGGTAGAGACCAAGGTGGTATAGTCCTGGGTGCTGGTTCACTAGATGATGGGGTCAGCGGAACAAATGGCTCAGGGCAGTAATGGCGTTCACCGTTGAGAACAAGGCATTCAGTTTGGAGAGGGTACGGCAGGGCACATCGTATCGGGTGACCCATAGTGTGAAGCTGGAGGAACCACTCGCCACCTTGTCTGAGTGGATCCGCCCGGCCAACTGTAAACTCTCGTCTGTCGGCTGGGTCAGTAAACCGGTATGGTATCCATGAAGGCAAAAGACGGCAGATAAAGACTATCAAATCTTCCATAAGGTTCATCAGTTCGCGGGCGATACGGTAAACTTCAGTGAAATACACCTCGAGTTTGTGTGGTCTTTCCGGCAAAACTGGGCGTGAAATAGCTCTAAGTAATTGCCAGCTGCCAAGTGATGACTGGGACATGGTGTTTTGGTGGTGGTCGTTTAAAATACTATTAAGTCCGAGTTGGTCGTTTGCGGCCTGAACACTAGATACAAGTGTATCATTCAAATTTTGTATTTCGCCCATTTCAACTTGCACAGCATTTGGTATCACACTCCCTGCATTCGATGGTTGTACCTTTTCTACACTCTTTCGACGAGTAGCGTTCGTAAGTGCACTTTGATTGGTATTATTTATCTGTACACTATATGGGCTGCTAGCACCAGGCTGTTCTATATTTTCAATGGACTCGTTGACTTGTGGCGCGTTCGGTCTTCGAACATCTATGGATGCAGTTTTACTGCTCGTCGATGAGGCCGCCGTTACCTCAACTGCATTTTGAGAATTCTTTTGGTAGCCAAGGTGGGGAGGAGTATCTGCAATGACTTTCTTTTGCCCCATTTGGCCGTTTTGGGACACATTCGCAAGTACGGCGTTCTGTACCAAATTTATGTGTCTATTTCTCCTATGTGTTTCGGTTTTTAGAAATGCGTGATCACTCCCCCGTAATGGCTGTATCGCGCTTTTCGCATTTTGCTGCACTTGGTCCCGCTGTGTCTTGTGGCTCTGATCTATTTGAGCGTCTGAAAGTGTTTTAGGGACGACCCGCTCTGCTGAATTTTGCCTATTCTTTGACAGGTTATCTAAAGGAGTCCCCTTAACTATGGGCCCTTTAACCTTAAGTAAGTTTTTTAGCTTAGCTCGTACGAGAGAACTGGTCGTGTCAGAGCGGTTTCCAGCAGGCGCTGTTTTTTTTTGGCATAATTCGTTGATAGCCCACTTGTGTTGCTATTCGTATCCGAATTTCGAGAGTTGATCGAGAACTGAAAATTTTCAGTGTTATTTGTTTGGCAATTTTGAGCACCAGTGTCGGGCTGATGATATCCTTTCATAGCAGTATTACTTGGCTACCAATTATCGTTCATCTCGTTGTTCTCGATATAATGATTTAAGGGGATGATGGCAGGCGACAATTATTGCTAGACTTTGCGATCTCTGTGTGTTCTGTTAGCTTTTTGCATGTGAAGAAATGCATGTTTTGTTCGAACGTTTAGCTTTCCGTAAACGTTTACTTTAATAGTTTGTACTATATAGCTGATTTATATAACATGGATTTGAAATTATAAGGATTTCTTAATGTTTATTTCGTCTGTTCCACCCGTCAGTAAGATCGGAAAGGTGGATCCAGCACCTGCTTGCACAAAGCAGCTAAAATCACGAAGGCAATAACTTGTCGACAATTATCTTTCTTTGTTGCTACATATTCGAAGTATTGTCAAAGTCGACAAAATCTGGTCTGCAAAATGTCTACAGATGACTAGTGTGTGACGTTGACGAATCCCAAATATCGTTCAAACAGCAACATTGTCCAACGGTAAGTTGGGAGGTTTCATTCGTTAGATTTACCGCCTATGGTTAAGGACACAATGTGTTTTGTGAGCTAAAAGTGCTGTTGAAAGATGTAGCCATAGCTCTTATAAAAACGCCTAGATCTTATTCTATATTAAATGTTTTGCTCATTGGAATACATTTTAAGTATTGCCTATACCACGCGCATACGTTCGTTTTATACGAGTATTGACAAAAAATCATCCGGAAAACGTCAACGCCCGCGGCTGATAATATTGATCGTTCTGTTGCCTGAGTGCTCTGAGGTTTGTTTTCGTTCTAAACAGATTCGAAGTAGTTGTTTTATTCCAGCTCTTGTGATACTTTCCGCCTTTAGCCTCATAAGTCAGCCCAGTATCATCTCAGTATCTTCCAAAAGCTGTTGTCGAGTCGTGTGATAGAGGCGTCTTAATGAGACCCTATTACACAGAGCTACCGCAGCTTTTTACGTTCAAATGTATAGTAATATCGTTATATAGAAATATATACATATTCCGGTCTATAGTATGAATTCAGTGTGATAAGTTAGCTGACCATGTCTTGCATGACCATTGCGGAGATAAGTATATCCACTGGCATACAGCGGAACATCGAACGGAGGAGTCATTATGGTACCTAACTGGTAA